AGTATTTGAGGGCTCCAATTTTCCACACCATGGCCAGTATTTGGTATTTTCATTTAACTATTAAGCTGGGGTGACATGGTATCTAATGGTTTTCATTTATAGCTTTCTAATGGCTACCCGCTCATGTTCACTGCCCATTTTTAAACTGAATTGCCATTTTTAAATGTCTTGCTGAGTAACAATGATGAGAAATACAACTTTCCTCTAGTTCCTAAATGTTTCCTCCCCGCTCCCACTACCATGACTCGAATTCTATCTTGCAAGTCTGGCTAGACCAGAGGAGGTACACTGGTACAGATAGGAACTGAAAATAAAGGGAATCCAGGACGGATGAGCCCTATAGGACCAGTGGCAAAACAGGGAGGGTAAAGGGAGAATGGGTAGGAAAGAGGGAACCGATTACATGGAACTGTGTGTGACCTCCTCCCTGGGGGACATACAACCAAAAAGTGGATGAAGGGAGACGTCGGACAGGGCAAGATATGACAAAATACCCATTTATAAACTATCAAGGGCTCATGCGGGAGGGGGGAGCGGGGAGGGAGGGGAAAAATGAGGACCTAATGTCGGGGGTTTAAATGGAGAGAAAATGTTTTGAGAAACGATGTACAAATGCGCTTTACACAATTGATGTGTGTATGGATTGGGATAACAGTTGTATGAACCCCTAATAAAATGTTAAAAAAAGAGATAAATAAATAAATAAATAGATGTACATGGACCTATATCCCTATTGTTATATAAAAATATATGTACATATCTACCTACTACCTTAATACTTAACATATAAATATATGTACATGGGCCTATATCCCTTATCATTATATTAAAATACATTTACATATTTAAAAAAAATGTCTTGCTGAGCTGTTGGTATTTCTATAAATTTTAGATAATAGTCCTTTGTCTGATATATCATTGCGACTTATATCCCCACCCCCAGCCCCCACTACCCCAGTCTGTGAGTTCTCATTTTACATTTTTGGTGCAATCTTTTGATGCATAGAAGTGTCTAATTTTTGGGAAGCCATCTATTTTGTCTTCTGTTTGTGTGCTTTCAGTAAACTATGTTTGATAGTATGTGTGTGCATGTATGTTACACCAAATACCAGGCTGTTTTGATTACCGTTGCTGTATAATAGGTTTTGAGATTGGAATGTGTGAGGCCTCCTACTTAGGTCATCTTTAGTAGTTCTTTGCTTATCTGGAGTCTCTTTCCTTTCCATAAAACATTGGTGATTAGTTTTTCCTTCTCTTTAAAGAATTATGTTGGAATCTAGATTGGGATTACATATAATCATTTGGGGTAGTATCAACATTTTCTAAATCTTAACTCTACCTATCAATAAGCTATTTAAAAATTCTATTTTCCCATTAACTTTTTTAACCCCATATATATAACCTTATCAGTAAACAATATGACCAAGCTTAAAGTTATAAGGAGCCCTGGTGGTATAATGGTTGGGCTGCTAACTGCAAGGTCAGCAGTTCAAAACCACCAGCCATTACTTTTTTTTTTTGTAAAGTTATACTGTTAGTTTTTTATTTTATTTCTTTAAACATTTTATTGGGGGCTTGTACAACTCTTATCGCAATCCATCCATCCATCCATTGTGTCAAGCACATTTGTACATACGTTGCCATCATTCTCAAAACATTTGCTTTCTACTTGAGCCCTTGGTATCAGCTCATTTTTATGAACCCTTGATAATTTATAAATTATTATGATTTTGTCATATCTTACACCATCTGACGTCTCCCTTCACCCACTTCTCTGCTGTCCATCCTCCAGGGAGGAGGTTATATGTAGATCCTTGTAATCAGTTCCCCCTTCCCACCCCACTTTCCCTCCACCTGCCTGGTATAGCCACTCTTACCACTGGTCCTGAAGGGGTCATCTGTACTGGATTGCCGGTGTTTCCAGTTCCTATCTGTACCAGTGTACATCCTCTGGTCTAGCCAGATTTGTACAGTAGAATTGGGAACATGATAGTGCGTGGGGGGGAAGCATTCAAGAACTAGAGGAAAGTTGTATGTTTCATCATTGCTACACTGCACCGACTGGCTCGTCTCCTCCCCACAGCCCCTCTACAAGATGTCCAATATCCCACAGATGGGTCCTGGGTCCCCACTCCGCACTCCCCCTCACTCACAATGCTATGGGTTTTGTTGGTTTTTTGGGGGTCTTTGATGCCTGATCCCTTCGGCATCTCGTATCCCACAGGCTGGTGTGCTTCTTTCATGTGGGCTTTGCTGTTTCTCAGTTAGATGGCCACTTGTTTATCTTCCAGCCTATAGGACACCAGATTCTGTATCTTTTGACAGGCGGGCACCATCAGCTTTCCTCATCACACTTGCCCATGCACCCGCTTTGTCCTCAGCGATCGATATACTGTTGTTTAAGAAGAGACTATTCTCTTGGAGAAGGTAAATATTGTGTTGACCGGTTAATAGTATATAACTAAAGATTGCAAAAAGTTGAATATAATGACTTAGGAGTTATGGAAGTTCACATTTACAATTTAACAGAATCGACAGACTATAAATTCACTCATTTTAAGTACACAGTCCGATGGTTTAAATTCACAAAATTGTACAACTATTACCACAATTTATCATATTTTTTTAAAATCAAAAGGAAAACCTATACTGACTTGACTCCTCAAGCCTTCAAGTCCCAGACCTATGCAACCACTCATTCATTCATCTATATTGTCTTTATGGATTTGCCTATCCTGGACATTTAATATAAATTTGTGAATGGTTGCTTAAAGTAACAAATGTTTAAAAAACAAACAAACAATATTTTTTGGGCTCATTCAGGTTACACCATATATCAGTGTTTCATTTATTTTTACTGTCAAATATTTCAATGTATAAGATATATTCCATTTTATTTATCCATTAGCTGAGGGACATTTAAGTTGTTACTACTCTATTATGAATTAATCTGCTAAGAATATTTGTATATACATTTTACCTGGACATATATTTTTCTCTTGTATGTATATACCTAGAAATGGAATTCATGGGTCATTTGGTAATTCAATATTTAACTTTCTAAGGAAACACTAACCTGTATTTCACAGCAGTTACACATTCTTTCTCCAGCCATGTATCAGTTCTAATTTCTCCACATCTTTGTCAATACTTGCTATCATGTGCTTTTTTTATTATAACCATCTTTGTGAGTGTGAAGTGACAATCTCACTACGGTTTTCACTTGTATTTTTGTGATGACTAATAAGCATTTTTTCATGTTTTACTGTCCATTTTAACCTTTTTGTGAGAAATGCCTAGTTAGAGAGACTTTGTCCATTTTTAAATAAGGCTATTAGGCTGTCTATTATTGAGTTATAAGAATTTTTATATTAATTTAAACGGAGGAATAAAAAGTTGATCTGAAATGTAAACACCCACATCTAATTTACAATAAAAATGTTATTTAAAAAAACTAAATTTCTACATAATTTCTGAACACTAAAATTTAGTGCAAAAAAATGTACCTTATCCTGTAGGTTTCTTTTCATTCTCTTCATAGTCCTTTAAACATGCTTTTCATTTTGATAAAGTCTAATTAGTAGATTTTTTTTCTTTTACTGCTTGTGCTTTAGAGGGAGTTTTATTTCATCTACCAGGTAACAAACTTTCAATTTGAGAAAGGAATGCAACAGTGTTAACTATCGTGAAAGGACAATGAAAGCAAATTAGCTTACTAAAGAGAACGTCAAAAATAAAATTTAGTCCCCAGACTTCCAAGCATTTATATAAAACAAAACCACTTTTTCAATTGAATGAAAAGCTCACACTCTGATTTAAAAAAAGAAAAGAAAAGATCACACTCATGTAGGCAGAGCATATAATATACTATAAGGACAAATCTAGAAAAAAAAAAACTTTGTATACAAGTCTACTTCAGAATTTTCAGATCCTTTCACTGAACTCTTTTCTAAAGTGGTCAAAATTTCTTCTTCACTTAAAAGGATTATTGTGTACAGCTTAAATAAAAATAAGCTCTTGATAGAAGCATGTAAACTATTTCCTTCATTTTTCAGTGTGTATTGTTTTGTTTTTTAAAAAAGTTTTTATGGCACTTCATCCACATATCATACAATTCAATAGTGCAACCCTATCAAGAAGAGTTATACATTCTAAACTATTTTCTATGTCCTATTTGATACCAAATACTATAGTACTAAAGTTATTCACATCCTTATAAACTTATAATCACCTGCTTTGTCTTTAAAGCAACCATTACAAAGGATCTTTTGTTGATTCTTAAAGATTTAGCAAGTAAAACTAAGTTTACATTCCTAATTTAAAAATCGGGAAAAAATCCATATAAACACTGTTTTAAAACTATACACTTGAAAAAAAAAAAAAAACTATACACTTGTACATGTTTTCAAGGATACTCATTTTTTTCTAATTGTTAAGTGTTACAATTTTTTTGTGTGTGAATGAATTTTGTCACAAATATAAATATCCAGTATCACTCTTTTCTTTTTAAAGATAGAAGAGATAGGGAAAAGGCTAAGTTGAGGCAAAGAGGAAGAAAAGAAAAATCACCCAACTTCTTTATCATCTAACAAACTGTTCCACTCACGAGAAATCAAATCAGCAGGGTACTAAAATAAACAACCCTATCTGCCTTGTCGTATGAGTCAGTAGAAAGACAAGCATCATCATCATATTTAGTATTATTTTCTTAAAGGATAACAGGTTAAAGTTACAGTTTTACTCCAGGGAACACCCAAAAGATATGATGGGCAAGGACAAGTACACACAACGTCTGGCAGGAGAGGTTCAAACTAACAGCACAGAAGACAACAGGACCCACATAAAGCTGCATCTGTCATGGACAAGTAAACACTGTGTCTTCCCTAAAGTAGTTACCTCTTTACACAAAATAACCTTGAGATGTCCATTTACCTGTCCCAGGGTTCCCCAGAAGCAGACTTTTCTGCTATTGTACTGCATCATTTCTGTTAAGTACTTACTATCATCTCCAACAGGACCTGCTGAACACTGTGCTGGGGGGTCCCGGGCCAGATCATTCAATTCCTTACAAAAGAAGGCAAAGAAAGTTAGTCAACATAAATATAACTTTTGTCCATTAACAAAATTAACAGTTACTAATATTCTTTGTCCTATCAGTATAAGTCTTTTAAGAACAATGTCTTAAACATAGAAGTGTCTTTGTGAATCTATCAGTCTAGAATGCACATGGCTGATTTAAAAAGGAAATCCGTTTTGGTTTTTTAGGGTTTAGTAGGTAAATACAGTAAGAAAAGTAAATAGAAACCATATACTAAAAGAGCTACAAAAATAATGTTAAAGCAAAATACCCCCCTCCCAAAGATTCAGGCCTACTTTTTTAATCTCAAGACTATCAGGTTTTAAGTAGGACAAGTTCTAAAAGTTATAAATGTTCCAAGTTATACCGGATGATCTGACAAAAGTTATATATTTATAGCTGATGTTTACATCAAGGTTCAAAAGTAATAGGGGGGAAAAACTTAATAAATATATAAAGGCAAGGAGCCCTGGTGATATATTGGTTATATGTTGAGCTGTGATCTGCATAGTTAGCAGTATGAAACCACCAGCAGCTACATGGAAGAAAGATGGGCTTTCTACTCCCATAAACAGTTACAGTTTCGTTCATTATGAGTCAATATGGACTCCATGGGTGGGAGGGGGGGTGTTGACTGAAGTAATCAAACTTATCATAAAGCTTTGAGTTCAGAGGCTGGCCTACCTACAGTAATACTCTACAACCAGAGGCCAGTTTCCCTAGCTATTCTAACCCATGAGCCCACAACCCTGAGATTTGTTGCTGGGTAGAGATCTCTGAGAACCACAAAGCAAGATATTATACTCTATTTCTTCCTCCTGGGCTTGATATCTGATTTAAAAACAAGCCCTAAAGACTGATTTTTAAAATTACCCAAATTAATCTAGTAGTTGGCATCAACTCGATGGCAATGACAGTATGAATATCAGTACTTAAAAATTGCAACAGTAAGATCTAGTATTTTATAAGTGCAATAAAAATTACTCTTAATAGCTTACATATTATTGTAAATGTTTTTTATCTTTTAATGTATAACATTTGTTCTAAGTCTCTTCCATACAAGCTAACCTACTCACTCAGATATTTTAGTTTATCAATGATGCTGTTTTATTTTACTCACAACTTTGGAGCACAAATTATAAAGTACAGAAATTAAGTTTTTAAAAAGCACAAGGATTGAAAGACTTTAAAAAAATTTTTATGCTTCATGTAACCGAGGGGAATTACTGAAACTCAAATGAAAGCCAAACATGATAGTGGGACAAGAGCAAAGTAAAAGGAAATAGAGGAAAGAACTAGGAGGCAAAGGTCATCTATAGAGGTCTAAATACAGGTATGTACATA